TAATAATGTTTATTTTATTAATATGTGATTTTCATAATTTTTTTCATCACGAAATTAAAGATATTTAGCGATAAAAAACTGCACATAAAACGATGATATGATATGAACTTATTTTTTCTGATATGATCTAATCCGAACTTATTTTTTAAGTAAAAATAAGGTGAACTAAATAAGGCCTAAGTTGTTATATTAGCACGGCAAAACTCAATCCAACTAAGACCTAACCCGCCTAAGAAACAAGACTTGACATGACTACCCAACCTACAACAAGACTCAATCCGAATAAGACCCAAAGGCCAAAGCTCCCTTCTCCTCCTTTCACGTTGCTCTATCCGAAGAAGACCCAAAGGTCAAAGCTTGACATGACCCCGGACCTGAATACCTGTATTTAGGGGTGAGCAAAAATTCAGGATACCCTGAATCGGAACCGGAACCTGTTAGGAACCGCAGGTTCCAGAACCGGAACCTATACAGGAGGTTCCGGTTCCGGGTAGTAAAATTGAGAACCTGTTGCAACAGGTTCCGATTTAGGTTCTCGATTTTTTGGAACTAGAACCTGTAGGGTACCCTGTAACCTAATAAAAGTGTTACTTAACCCCAAATCACATATCAATTTAAGCCCAATTTTAACTTAACATATATAAAATAATTATTATAACTATATGTATTAAATTTAGTAAACAACTATTTTTGGTTTGTTATATTTGCAAAGTAGATTTATGACCTTACAATTTTTTTAAGAAAAATTACAAAATATAGTAAAAGATAGGGTACCCTGAATCGAAACCGGAACCTGTAGGTTCCGGTTCCGATTCCCAATTTTCAGGAACCTGTTCAACAGGATCCGGTTCTCATTTTTAGGAACTTATTGCAACAGGTTCCGGTTCCAATAAATTTAACAGGGTACCCTGGTATGCTCACCCCCACTTGTATTGACAACTTTAGGTGTATTGAGTATTGACTATTTGACTATCTATTGAGTTTTAGTGTAGTGCCAATTAAGGAAAAATTGCCAAAGTGAGCTTTTAATAGAAACAATTTCCTAAAGTAGACGTGTGGCAAAACTATTTACCAAACTGAGCTTCCAGGGTAAAACGTCAACCAGGCTGGCGTTTTTATCCTGGGCATTTATTTTTTAAAAATTTCAGTCAAGGCAAAAGCGCCATCCAGGGTGGCGTTTTTACCCTGACCGAAATTTCTAAAAAAAATTGGGCAAGGTAAAAACGCCAGCCAGGTTGGCGTTTTACCGTTGTACCAAAAACGCCAACCAGGCTGGCGTTTTTGTATCGAGTATTTCAGGCAAAGCAGAGTTATTATTTCCATTGTTCTTCAAAAAAAACGAAAACTCCCAATTTGCAAGCCCTAACCCGAGCCACATTGCTCACCCAATCCTCCATATTTACAGCAAATTCATCACATCCCATTGCTTAGATCTTCATCATACTCGCTAAAAATTATTCCTCCTTCTTTGTTCAACACTTTTACGCAGTACATTGATCGAACTTGAGGTATGTATTGAATTGAACTATTTTACTTGTTTATGATGTTTTTTGGGAATTGATGTTTGTAATTTACAATGTATGTACTATATTGTTGTTCAAGTATGCGAAATAAGTATAACTACATAATACATTGCTGTTTAATTATTGAAATTAAGTATATTTATATGTATGTTGTTTAATTGCAAACCATGTATATGAAGCATACATTATTCTTCATACTTAAATTAGTGTGTAAATTTCAAGTATGTTTACAAACTACATTGTTGAATTAGGTACATTTAAATATATACTACATTGTTGATTAACTAGGTAAATAAGTACATTGTTGAACACTAAGTTGTATATACGCTTAGCTTAAGGATTTAATGAAATCATTGTGGTTTTAGTTGTGTTGTGTATTTGTGTCATCTAATATGTGTTCCGATTGTTATGTAGAACATGGCTTCGCAATTGATTGTTTTGTTGTGCCGTTGGGGGAGGGTGAAATTTTGTGTGTCAAATCGAACGTCAAGTATAGAGGAGGAAAAATGAAACCGCTGGCATTGAAACTTTGGATGACTTACAATGATTTGTTGAAGAAGGTTCATACTATAACTGCTTCAAACCCAACGAATGTTGAACTGAACATTAAAATGAGGTTTGAGAGTGTCAATAGGGTTCAAATCTTACCTATTTTGAATGACGACCATTTGGAGGTTTTGAGGGTGTCGTTGCAATGAGGTCTCTTCCCACTGATTTGTATGTGGAAATGGTGCCTATATGTACTCAACAGACTATTTGCTTGACAGAGAAACAACCTATATATCTTCCCTCATACGCTACAAGATCGTTACAAATGCCCTCATACAACATTCCGTCATTTGAATATGGAATGGGATCTTTCAGTAGAATGTTACACGACGATCAATTTGACATTCCATTCAGTTCACATTTTACTGCACCTGTACATGAAGGCGCGTTGGTGTCAATGTTGCAGCAACCTGGTCCATCTACCTCAAACAATGACATTTCATCACCGATGCAATTGCACAGTTACTCTCCTACGCAAGAACATGTTCAAGCAACACCGTCTCAAACTTTGGTGAATGCCGAGCCTATTGTAAACAACGAATTGTCTAATCTTGATATGTATGATGATACAAACAACGAAGGTGAAGGCGGATATGAGGAAGATGTTATAAACAACGAATTGTCTGTGATGATGTTGTGGCTAGAACTCCATTGCCTTGGTTCACTCAAATAAACGAGAACTATGAGGTGGACATGTATTGGGCTGATTCGGGGAGTCAAACTTTGTTTGTTGTCAGGGGAGAATTTGAGAAGCGCATGATTTTCGACATTAAGAAAGTGCTCCAGGAAATGGTAAAATTGTATTCCATAGAACGGAATCAGTTCTACACCACGGTGATGTCGAATGAGAATGTCCTTCGTCTTAAATGCAAGAGGGAGTGTGGTTGGTCGTTACGTGGTACAAAAACAAATCTTGTGCAATGAACAGAGATCATGGAGGGACACGCTCAGGGACCACCACGAGCTGACCCAAGACCAGCTGACCCTTCTCTCCTGACACTTCAGAGCACCCATCGGAGCCGTGACATATGGGAGCAGTTAGTAAGTTTTCATTTACCAAATCTTTAATGTTTTCGGCGATTTTTATGTTGACTGATCCAACAATGTATTTTTTGTTGTTGTACAGGTTGATCCAGCTCGGTGCTTGCTTTGCAGGCACCACGTTGGAAGGGTCGTGGAAGATTGGGTCGTCGACCCGCGTGTGCTACATTACATCGATTTTGTGGGTTTTGGCGGGTTTCACAGGATGGCCTTCACACCTATAGATCGAGCGCTAATTACTGCTCTCGTTGAGAAATGGCGACAAGAGACTCACTCCTTCCATCTACCAGTTGGGGAGGCCACCGTCACGCTCCGAGATGTGGCGATACTGACACGACTCCCAATACGTGGTAGGGAAAGGGCCCATTATACAGGACCCTCGTGGCCTTGTTGAGAGGGTGTTAGGGATGAGGCCCAAGGACACCGATATTAGAGGCACAGGGCTGAGACACATATGGTTACGATAGACATTTGGGGTGTTGCCTCCTGATGCTGATGATGGAGTCGTCCAGAGATACGCTTGAGCGTACCTGTTCATGTTGATAGGATCGTTATTTAGTAACAAGAGAGGTAGTCTCATACAGTTGATCTACCTACAGCTGGGAGCAGATACGTGACTATAGCTGGGGTAGTGCGTGTCTGGCGACCTGGTATCGCCATCTTTGCAGAGCATCCCAGCGAGATAGATGGGAGATCGGCAGTCCCTTGATTGTGCTTCAGGTAGCCCTTTAATTTCATACCATTTTTTAACTATTAAGTACTTAACGGTGGCTAAACGTAACTTGTGTTTTTTATTACAGTTATGGGCTTAGGAGCACATCCACGTTGGTAGGCCAGCTCGGGCTGCTAGCCGTCGACGCCAGGAGGAGGAAGACGACCAGAGCATGCATATGAGGCTCCGCCACTCCCTCCACCAGACCTGGCATACAGTTGCAGGTATGTATGACTTATTGTTAAGTTTTCCTCATACCGCTTTATTTTGCTAATAATTTCTCATGAACACTAATATTATATATAATTAGGTGGCTGGTGCAGAGACTTACTCATATGCATGCATCGAGGGTCTACCGTATTACAGAGACGCATTCGACAGACTGAGCGAGTCTCAGGTGATAGTTCACAATAAAAAATAATTTAACACCCCGTTCATTGTTTCAATAAGTTAATTATGATGTTAACGACGGCGTGTTAATGCAGATGACGTGGGATCCGTACGTCCCTAACCAAGTCGATGCCATGCCCCCATATCTTCGTGATCATCAGATGGAGTGGCGTGCCATGACAGTCCTCATCTGTTTGAGGTAGTGGAGGCTCACCTCCCCGATAGAGTCATGCGACAGTTCGACCTTCGTCAGGCCGTCCTCGCCACGTGTGACACGAGTGTCCACTTGCACAGGACAGACCAACAAGGAAAGGGGGACGTGAGTTGGGCAATTCAGCATGCCCCTTTCATTGACATGTGGAATCAGCGGTTGCAACACGTCGCGGATGGTGCGCCTTTCCAAGGTATGTAATACCCCGTATTTTTATATATTTTATAAATTATTTAATTAATTATAATATATATTTTTAAGGCTAAAGTATTTTAAATTAGTTAATTTTATAAAAGTATAATTTATTTTGGGCTAAAATTTTATTAATTGTTGGGCTCGTTTAAATAATAGTATGTAAACAATCCTTACATATTCCTTGTGAACCAACCCACTTCATTTAAGTAAGCTCAATTCTTTTATCTGAACCTTGTGGGTCAAATATTTCATGACTGAAGTCCATTTATTTATTAAGCCCAAACACAATCCCTACTCTATACTCTATAAATATCCCCCAAAGCCCCAAAATTTTCCCACAAAAGTCAAATGGTAAAGGTAATTTATTTCTTTTCTATTTTTCTTTCTTTCTTTTTCTTTCTTTTTCTAACTCTTTCCCTTCTCCTTTACGTGAAAGCCACCAACACCACGCCACCTTGCAGCCACCCGACGCCGACCACGTCCGGCTGCCCAGCCACCGTCGGCGACCCGCAGCCAGCCACCGCGGTGGTTCGTCTCTCCTCCTCCTTGTTTTAAATTATTGTTTATGTAATTATTTGTTTTGGGTTTTGATTTTTGATTTTTGATTGATAAATTATATTAGTATGTTTTATAATTGTATTTTGATGATTAAAGATTATAAATTTCATATTATAAAGTATTTTAATTTCAGATTTTATAAAGTATTAAAATTTAGGGTTTTAAACTATTAAAGTGTTGATTTTTAGGGTTCTAATAATCAATTAAATTAGGGCTTTTATTCCTATTGAATTTATAAAGATTAATTAAACATAAAAACAAATTTTCGGTAATTAAATTCCGATCTCCGTCCTTAATTATTTTTAATCACGTTTTAATCCCGCTGAGATTATAACTCGTCCGATTTTTACAAAAAAAAATAGTGTTTTCGTGTGTAAACAACGTTCTAATCATAACTCACTACCTATGGTAGTGAGCACCACCCTCTCGTAGCCAAAATCAGCCTCTAAATAGGGTTTTCGGACAGTTTTTGATTTTTAACGAAGGTTTAATGTTTTAAAAATAATTTTCAGATTTATTTGGGGGGTTTAAATTTTAAAAAAAGTGTGCTGGAATTTTTATATAAACACCATGAATGAGTTTTTATATTGTGGTTTTAATTACCCACTTAAAGAAAGAGTTTTAAAGGTTTTTAACCAAAATTTCAGCTTATTAGAGAAGGTTTAAAGTGTTTAAAAGTTGCTAGAAATTTGTGTAATCAAGGAAGTAATTGAGTATATGTATTTGGTATTGTAGGAGACTTTAAGTTGAGTAATTTCTAGCATTGTGGCTAGTTGGAAAGATGATTTAATTAAGGTACGTATAAGAATACGAGAAAACTTGATTTTAGGAGCATGTTTAGGGACTTGGAAAAACCTAGAATCATGCTAGGGAACTTGTGGATTGGTTGACATTGTTTGGTAATGAGTTGATTGATGATAAATGTGATGATTGGTTTAATTTATATATGACAAAATTTGCATTGATTTCCCTTATGAGCATTATTTATGCAATAATTTGCAAAGTGAACTTAGAGGCAAAAATACAAGGATATATGGAATTAATTATTATAATTACTTATTCATTTGTATTGAAATGGAACGGGTAAAGGTAGAGTTAAAGTCTTATAAGACAAGATTGTGGATATGAGGTGCCTTATGCATTTGAGGTGTTTATACACCGAGGTAGTTAAAGGATTCAATAATAAATGTTGTTTGTCACTGATAAATTAAGAATTGAATTGGAAACTTGAATGATTGTTGTATGATTAGTTGTGTTGTTTGCATATGAGTCATCACCAAATTTAAACTGATAAATCACGTAAAGTGCAAGAAGGATGAGCAATAAAACTCTAGATTTGTGCACATCTAGAGTAATGACAAACAGGGGTTGGGGTTCACGGGGTATTAGCCGTGCACTTTTCAGAGGCCGTCTGATCTACGAGTCTCTTGTGTTAAATTCTTTAAAATTATAATGAGTTAGATGAGATCTCATACTATCTATGGCCACGGAGTCACGCCCTCCTGCCATTGGATGTTTATTAATGTCTTCCGAAAGGAGGCATAGGGTTTTCTTATTTAATGTTCCGGAATGGAGCACAGGGGGACAACCCGGTCTATTCCTTAATCTAGTCAATTAATGAAGTGATCAATGCTACTTAAATAAAAACTTTGTAATAAGTAACAATTGAATCATGTGTCCGAGTCAATGATTATATTGAGTGTATGGAATGCTTGTTAGTATCATGCTAAGGCTCTTTACTGTGTTTCATAGCTTGTATGTACTCAGCGTTGCTGATGACGTGCTTTTGTGTGTTTCTCTTGGTCATGGCCTTCGCCTTCAATGACCCTGTAATGATCTAATTCTTACACTTGTAATATTGGGGAGCAGACTAATCACAGGTTTCTGCATAAACTGAACTTGCATCAGGGTGATGGGATTTGAGTGGAGCGCTGGTTATTCATTTAGCTTATTTCATTTCATAAATTGATGTTATTTTAACTCTAATTCTGCTCGCTTCCTATTTAACTGGGTTTTGAATAAGGGCCATTATGGTTCCAACTTGTAAGACTAAATTGAGTCTTGACTTTTTGGTTTTGAAACTTATATTCTTTTTTAAAACTAAGTTAGTTTTCCGCTACTGATTTCTGAAACTAGCCTTAACGTTTTAACACGTGGCTGTAGCACACCAGTAATATAATTCTCTCACAGGTTATTAAAAGTATTTACAGGTGATTACAGGTTAATACAGGTTTTAAAGAGAGAATTATTGGGGTGTTACAAGGTCGGATGGAGTATCACGATCCATACATGGTATGGTACAGGAGCATTACTCGACGCTACATCAACCCTAACTACACCCCATCCTCAACTCATTATCAGCCAGCTTTCGGAGACATCAGTGGATATGTGAGTTTTAGTTGAATTTTTGATTTTTTTTGTTTTTTTTTTTATCAATTTATAATTTCTGGTATTATTAAATTGACTGACTGTTGACTAATGCAGGCATTTGATATGCTTGCTATACATGATGCATTGGGAGTCTTGAGCATATCGTATCCCACCATACCGGAGATAGATGAGATTCAGGCAATGACTGTGAGTAGCTTACAGAGACATGGTCATGATCATCTTATCCAGGGGTGGGACCAATCACACCAGGGTTCACACCGTGAGCTAGACGAGAGTAGCATGGGACAGACTCACACGTCCCCTACAGTGTCCCCGCAGTTTTTTGACAATCAGGAAGATTTCGCCATACCTATGTATGCGCCATACTCATCACAGGAGGGACCATCATCCAGCCAACAAATTCCTCCCCAGACTTTTGCCCCAGATCCTTTCACAACGGTATCTCAGTACTATCGTCGTAGGAGACCGCGAGTTGATAGACAACAATTACATCGAATAGATGAATCAGGATCTTAGAACTTCTTTTGTTAGGTTGTTGTAATCAGATTCTCTAGTACGTTGTATCCAAACAAATATTATCAATTTTACAGAATTTTTTAATTGATTTTCTGTCTATTATCAACTTCACCATATGCATTCATTCTTTTCATTGAACTGGTTGTTGTTATTGTTGTTAGTTGCTGATGTTGTTGTTGTTGTTCTGGTGCCTGCTTTTGTTGTGGTTGATGTTGTTGTTGCTGCTGTTGCTGTATTTGTGGCTGGTGTGGGGCCTGCAGTATGCAGGCAGGGTGTTGCAGGTAAAAACGCCAACCAAGCTCTTTATGGCTGAAAGTAAAACGCCAACCAGGATGACGTTTTTACCTTGGCCAATTAATTTAGAAATTTCAGTCAGGGTAAAAACGCCACCATGGATGACGTTTTTTTCCTTGACTGAAATTTTTAAAAAAAAAAAAAAAAAAGCCAGCATAAAAACGTCTGTCTAGTTGGCGTTTTACCCTAATTTGGTAAATAGTTTTGTCACGCGTCTACTTTGAAAAATTGTTTCCATTACAGGCTTATTTTGGCAATTTATCCGCCAATTAAACCTTTTTTTGGTTTCGCTCTCTCTTCAAACCACCGGAAACCTTCATTTCTCTTCAACAATGGCGGCCTCTTCACTGCGCAAAGCACTCACACCAAAACCAAGCTCTCCCCTTTTCCACTCCTCTCAACTCTCCTCCTTCTCCACCACCACTCTCTCTCCTCCCTTCTCCTCATTTCGCGCAGCTCAATCCTCCATCGTTACAGAATCAAACCCCACCAAAATCGCCGACATTCTCCTCTCTCAATCCTCCTTCTCCGCCTTCACTCGTTACCGCCCCATCTACCCTTATGCCGTCCGCAAGCTCGCCCGCGCCAATCGCTGCGACCTCGTCGAAACCATCGTCAAAGATCACCTTTCCAAGAGGAAGAAGGTTACTGAAGGTTTCGTGCTTCGATTCATCATGCTTTACTCTGAAGCTGGTATGACTGACTCTGCTCTTCGTTTGTTTTATGATTATGGTCCTCAATTTCATGCTAGTGATAAACCCTTTTGTGCAATTCTTACTGCGTTGTTGAATAATTCGAAATTTGATGAGTTTCATGAGGTTTTGATTGTGGTGCTGAGAAAATGTCGGTTTCGACGAGTGTTAAGGCGTATAATTTGAAATTGAGGGCGTATTGTGAGGAGGGGAAGGTGGGTTTGGCGGAGGAATTGTTGGTGGGGAAGATGGAGGAGGAGTTTAGGGTTTTGCCCGATATACATTCATATAATGTGATGTTGGGGGCTTATTTGAAGGGGAAGGATTGGGGAAGTTTGATGAGATGTTGAAGGAGGTTTTAAGGAGGGGTTTAGAGAGTAATGTGACTACTTATAAGCATATGATTGTGAGGTTGTGTAAGGATAAGCAGTGCGCTCGAGCTATGGAGTTGTTGAACGAGATGGCGGTTAAAGGTGTAAAGCCGAATGCTGCTTGTTATAATTGGGTTATTTATGGGTTCTGTAGGTTAGGAGCTTTGGATTCTGCAAAAATGGGTTTGGAGAGGATGATTAGTGACGGGCATGTTGTACCGTCTTCGTTGACATATTATACTTTGTTTAGGCATTTGGTGCAAGAAGGAGACTTTCTTTCAGCATTGGATACGTGTAAGGTGATTCTGAAGAGCAAATGGGTGCCTCCATTCGAGGCAATGGAAGGTCTAGTTAAGGGTTTGCTTGTAATGTCGAAGAAAAAGGAGGCTTGTAAGGTGGTTAAGAAGATGAAGAAAAGGCTACGGGGACCTGCTTTGGTCTCATGGGAAAGATTGAAGCTGCTATTCCCTGGTAGGCTTGTATTATGTTGAAGGTCCAAAATTTATTTGATGATGTCCACTTTGAGAAGGATGGTGCATTGGTACGCGGCTTCATTAGCTGCTGCCTCTACCTGTCTAGGTTGAGCATTTTGTCAAATTATCTTTAGCTTATTTATTAGATTATCTATTGTTGTTGAGCCTGTGCTCCTATGTTAACTTATAGCTTTTTACTCTTTTACGTCCTTATTTGAGATGTGGACATGGTTAGCTATTTAAGTAAATTGGTTGCTTATGTCCATAGAAGTAATATCAAAGTAAGTCATTTCTTTCTTTATCAATTGAAACAACCAAGATCACCAAAATGAGGAGCAAGTGAGTTATATCAATGAATTTTAGATTGCAATTAGTTCAAGTCATTTTTGTAGGCCAATATGTAGAATTTTTCAAGCATAATATGATGCCTATATTTCTTATAATTGTATATTGGTAATTTTGAGTATGTGCATATTAAATCTTCTTATAAAGCTAATGATTCGATAAGTTATTACTTACGACTCTGCACTAGGTTAAGCTAGTGATTTTGCTTTGTTATGTCATTGAAAAGCTGAAAGAGAAGATCTAACTTCTCAGTCGCGAAGTGTTATAATTTTGCTAGTGATTAGCTAACTTAATTGTATACGTGATAGGTTGAGAACTCCAATTTCACTACTTCAAATGCTAGAAATTTTATTGTGGGTAATTAGTTAGCCCTGTTTTCATATTCTGGAAGAGTATATGAGGCTCAAAAATTTAATCCTATGTATGTTGTCTGTCACTGATATTTTTTTAGCCTTGGCAAGGAGTTGAACTTTAAGCATAAGGTAGTTCCCGTCATCCCTTTCATGGGCCAACTTCTGGATAGTAGATATGTCCTGAAAAAGTTAATTATTCATCGAGTTTAAGTAGGGGCTAAGACTATCTTTTCCTAGATCAATAGAACTGCTGGTGGTGCCGACCAAAGCTGATTCCAAGCATGATTAGAAAAAGATGAAGACGCTGAAGCATCTGTCAGTTTAATCAATCGTGGTCAGCTATCTCAGCACAGCATCTAGGGACAGACTGGGAAAATAAGTGATTGCAATTTCCTAACATCACTGGAGTATGGTACTAGATATGGTGAACCAAATTGTAATCAAGTCAGCCGGCAAAAACAGATAGAGCAGAACAACCCATAAGATAAGGGTGAGAAATAAGGAAACACTACTGAAAGTCGGGTTCAAAGAAGTCTGAACTCTGAAGTCCAAGGCTAACACTTAACAGAGAGTTTAGTGATGACAACTATGTTTAAATTGATTTGACGATATAGGAACTGAACCAAGTTGCTTGTTGCAAACTAATTTTAGTATCTTAGAGAGTTAGAGGTAAAATATGGTGCAATTTTGGAATTCTAGTGTTGCATCAGTTACATATCAGATCCAATGGTTTTGAGTTTTAGTTTTTATTTATTTTATTTATGTTTTTGAGACTTCAGTTAGTGTGTGTGTGTGTGTGTTTTATCTTACTAATTCTAATTCAGTTAGTGAACATAATTATCCTGTTTTAATCCAGAGTAGAATCTTTATTATATGGTGATGAAACTGGCTTATTCTAAATGATTTGTTTTGTTATGAGTAAAGCAAAACATAGTTGCTGGTGGAAAAAAAGTTGTTACGAATGCTTTGGTAGTGTATCTGAGATATCTGAAAGGACAAGCACAAGGCAATGCTAAGAGCATGTTCTTCTGTGAATCCCAATTTGTGCAGTCAAGGCTCTTGAACTCTTAGTATACTGTACACATGCTCATAGAGCATAATGGAACTCATTTTTTCTCCATCCAATCATATGCCATAAGATAAGGGTGAGAAATAAGGAAACACTACTGAAAGTCGGGTTCAAAGAAGTCTGAACTCTGAAGTCCAAGGCTAACACTTAACAGAGAGTTTAGTGATGACAACTATGTTTAAATTGATTTGACGATATAGGAACTGAACCAAGTTGCTTGTTGCAAACTAATTTTAGTATCTTAGAGAGTTAGAGGTAAAATATGGTGCAATTTTGGAATTCTAGTGTTGCATCAGTTACATATCAGATCCAATGGTTTTGAGTTTTAGTTTTTATTTATTTATTTATGTTTTTGAGACTTCAGTTAGTGTGTGTGTGTGTGTGTTTTATCTTACTAATTCTAATTCAGTTAGTGAACATAATTATCCTGTTTTAATCCAGAGTAGAATCTTTATTATATGGTGATGAAACTGGCTTATTCTAAATGATTTGTTTTGTTATGAGTAAAGCAAAACATAGTTGCTGGTGGAAAAAAAGTTGTTACGAATGCTTTGGTAGTGTATCTGAGATATCTGAAAGGACAAGCACAAGGCAATGCTAAGAGCATGTTCTTCTGTGAATCCCAATTTGTGCAGTCAAGGCTCTTGAACTCTTAGTATACTGTACACATGCTCATAGAGCATAATGGAACTCATTTTTTCTCCATCCAATCATATGCCATAAGATAAGGGTGAGAAATAAGGAAACACTACTGAAAGTCGGGTTCAAAGAAGTCTGAACTCTGAAGTCCAAGGCTAACACTTAACAGAGAGTTTAGTGATGACAACTATGTTTAAATTGATTTGACGATATAGGAACTGAACCAAGTTGCTTGTTGCAAACTAATTTTAGTATCTTAGAGAGTTAGAGGTAAAATATGGTGCAATTTTGGAATTCTAGTGTTGCATCAGTTACATATCAGATCCAATGGTTTTGAGTTTTAGTTTTTATTTATTTTATTTATGTTTTTGAGACTTCAGTTAGTGTGTGTGTGTGTGTGTTTTATCTTACTAATTCTAATTCAGTTAGTGAACATAATTATCCTGTTTTAATCCAGAGTAGAATCTTTATTATATGGTGATGAAACTGGCTTATTCTAAATGATTTGTTTTGTTATGAGTAAAGCAAAACATAGTTGCTGGTGGAAAAAAAGTTGTTACGAATGCTTTGGTAGTGTATCTGAGATATCTGAAAGGACAAGCACAAGGCAATGCTAAGAGCATGTTCTTCTGTGAATCCCAATTTGTGCAGTCAAGGCTCTTGAACTCTTAGTATACTGTACACATGCTCATAGAGCATAATGGAACTCATTTTTTCTCCATCCAATCATATGCCATAAGATAAGGGTGAGAAATAAGGAAACACTACTGAAAGTCGGGTTCAAAGAAGTCTGAACTCTGAAGTCCAAGGCTAACACTTAACAGAGAGTTTAGTGATGAC